AAATAATCAAAAGTTATACTATTACTATGTAGAGTAAAAGTTAAATATAGTAAATCAGAAGGGTATAAATGAAAAGTTTAGTAAATTTAAGGATTGGTTAACACAATTGACATGCGCGAATCTTGATACAATTTCAAGAACCGTTTCGTTGGTTGATAGTAGCCTAGTAATATAGCAAATTAGCAGCTCCCTTGGGTCCATGTTCGTGTAGATGGGAATAAATCAAGTTTAATTTGCATATGGAACTGGAATCGATCCCCTCCCCCGCGTGGAATCTTGTTGTTATGTCGGTGTCAACACCCGTTGACGGAGTCTAGTCAAACGACAGCGTTGACGACACCAGCAGGCAGCACTGCTTACTTTAGGAATCCTGCTTTCTTACTTCTTCTTCACTTCCATTTCGATCACACACTTGCATTGACATTACCCTTCCAACTCTCTACTCATCAAGTTTCCAGAACTAACCTCCATCGATCATGGGTTCCATTAACAACGACACTGGTGGTGGTGATGGGGAAGATAGGATTGATGCTCTTGGAAGGCTCTTGTAAGTAATCGATTTTCTTAATGTCAGCTTCATTTTTTGTATTTCTTTGACATTCTGATTTAAAAATTAGTTCATTCGATTTGGAATTAATTGGTTATACAAATCAGAACCCGTATCCTGCGACATATGGCTTCTGACCTGAACTTAAAGATGAGGAGTGATGGGTATGTCAAGGTTCAAGATCTATTGAGACTTAACATGAAGACAGCCGCTAATGTTCCAATAACTTCTCATACTTTTGATGATATTAAGGAGGTAACTCCCATCTCTCTACTCACTGTTTTTATCTTTCCAATGTTCCAGTAACTTCTCATACTTTTGATGATATTATATTTTTTCCATGTTCATGTTTTGTAAGTGTACGTTTTTATTTGTGGGGATGGTGAAAGGATTCTTACTAGGAGAACTATTGACATTAATTATTGTAAATGTTTTGGTCTTATTTATTTTATATTTATTTGTGGGCTCTACCACACTTGTCAGTTTTTTTTTTTTTTTTGTTTGTCATGTGTTCTAATTCTTCTTTTGATTTTCATCTGGTTGTAATTAATATACGTTAGGCTGTCAGATTGGATAACAAGCAGCGGTTTAGCTTGCTTGAAGAAAATGGGGAGCTTTTGGTTCGTGCAAACCAAGGTCATACACTCATGGTAATGCATACTTCCATCAGTTCATTATGATGCAAAAAGTAGCAACGTACTATCATTGATTTTTTATTATTATTTCATTTCTTCTTATTACAACATTGCAATTTGAAAAAAAACCTACCCGATTATAGCAATATCATACAAATATTAAATATAAAACATTTTTACTAGTATAATTAGGTAAATTTTTAAAAATATAATAATATATTTTTTTATTTTGAAAGTACAATGGTGTAATAGAAAGAAATGGAAGCATGATGCTAGCTATAATATACAATTAAATGAAAGCATGTTGCTATTTCTTGCGTTCTCTCATAAAAGTTATACTATCCGATTGGCAGTTGGTTGAAACTAAAAGTTTACTTAAACCCATCCTCTCACCTGAAGAATATCCTGGTAATCACATTCTACTTATCACACATTTTACAATTTAGTCTCTTTTTCTTCCTTTGTTCATCGTTTTTTTTTTGTGTGTGTGTATGTGTGTGTTATTATTGTCCAGTTTGTATACATGGAACCTACAAAGAGAAGTTAAATTCAATCTTGGAAAGTGGTCTTAAACGCATGAAAAGGTTACATGTACATTTCTCTTTTGGATTACCAACCGATAATGAAGTAATTAGTGGTAAATTTCTCCGTTTTTGCATATATTTTTTTGAACGGGAAAATATAAATGTTGGTGATAAAATTTGAAAAAATCATTTTTGCAGGGACGAGGAGGGATGTCAACATCTTGATCTACCTTGATATTAGGAAAGCCATCAAAGGTACTCACTTTTTCAAGTCAAGATAAAATTACGTATTTGCCCTCTCATTGATAGAAAGTATTTGGGTGGGATTTTTTCAGGGGGGATGAAGCTTTACATATCGGACAACAAGGTGATCTTAACAGAAGGTTTTGAGGGTGTTGTCCCTGTCAAGTATTTTGAGAGGATAGAGTCATGGCCATATAGGAAGCTTATACCTTTTTAATACACTCTCATCATCAACTGAAGTAAGCATCATGATTTTGAAATTTGTACATGTCGAATATATCTCAAAAGAAGGATGTTTTATTGGTTTACACGTTTTGTTCTGTTTGTGTTATTTAATATAATATGAGAACACATAAAGTTTTGATCTTTTATCTTGTTCGAAATAAAGGGGTGAAATAAACATAAATTTTGATCTTGATGCAAGATAACTTTTAGTAGAAAATTGTGTGATAGTACTTGAAAGTTAGAAGGATAAGAATGATCAAATGGTTGTTAAACCAATCACAAAAGTAAGGTACAAAGGGATATAGCAATAGCTATTTGCTAAAATGATTATGTTTGAAAGACAAATATATCAAGATAACGCATATTTTCAATGTTTATCATAAAATAACCACCTAACTGGCAGTGACCTTGAATGACTTTTTCGAACATTAAAATTGCGAATTTTTATTATTTTTGCAAGGTTAATATATTTTTCGCAAGGATGAAATAATCTTGAAATTGGTTAACATAAATATTTCTTACAAATATAAACAAAATAAATTGTAGCAAAATGAAATGGTTAAGGTGTATGGTTTCTAAGAACATTGTTGTGGCTTCAAATCCTAAAAAAAACCTTAAACATGAAAGTCCCATGGTCTTTGTTGGATTTTGAACTCACAAATTAAGCCATTAGCTCACAAAGAAACTCCAAAAGTATCTACCATAATAAATGTAGGGTTTTTTTTGTCACATGTCCCCTTCTTATTCATTTGGATACATGACATTTTCTAGAATTTTTAAATTTTCTATTTTCCACTTGTCATTTTATTGTATTTTTCATTTTATTAAATTAAAAATCCACATTTAATATGTAAGGTAATATATATGTAAGTATTTATTAGAAATAGTTTATATATGTAATGTATTCAATACATTAAAGTTTCATTAATTTTAATAGTTCAAAATTTTTCTTATTTTTCTTATAAATTCAAACTATTCAAATTATTAAAATTTCATATTTATTTTTTTAATTAAATTCATGTAATACATGGGTCTCACACCTAGTTTGAATCAAAGAACAAACCAAAATCTATGAGTACAAACCCACTACCATTGTCATGTTGCATGTTTTTGAGTCGAACACAAGCAATAGCAACAATAACAACACATCGTAGAAATCCCATTAAAAAGATATTGAAGAAATTAGATATCGACAATCATGTCTCCATAAAAAAGCATGTACGTATCTCAATTCATGGAAGGTAGTTCCTAAGATCTACTTTTTTTTTTTTTAAATAATAATAATAATACAAGAAATATATGTAAAAAAATAAGGACCTACCTTATTATTTTTAAATGATCTATCTTTTAATCTTTGGCAAAAAAAAAAAACAACCTTATTTTATATATTCCGATCCACATGAATAAACCAAATGCTTCTATCCACTTAAAATTTATTCATATGCAATAACTGAATCTAGTTAAAGTTCAACAAAAAACGATAAAAGCTTCATCAAAACTTGATCACCGATCGATATATCCAAATATTTGTTGCCTCATTCTGTTCTCGTCGACTTAACCGATCTGTCTCACATTCCAATTGTCTGTTGTCCGACTGTTGTTCGGCCATGACATCGCCCACCGTCACCCCTCCCTAGGTGCCACCACTTCCTACCCTTTTCCCATCGCCTCCAGCAGCCCACCCTCTTGTAGTCTCGACTTATATTTTTTACTCTTTCATTTCTTTTTAGTTTCAGTTACATAAGGAACCATATGTTTTTTTAGTTCTAGATTCGCTGTTATAAAAAAGAAGGTGGGTGTGGAACGATTATATTACATACAATCACCTTCTATATCTGTAAAATGAGAACCAGTAAACGAGACAAACAAAAAAAAGAGCAAATCAAAAAGAGCACTAAGACATAAGTCAAGGAAAAATCATAACAAGAGTATAAGTATATGCATCCGATAACCAGTAAATGAGTTGAACACAAGCAAAACCATCAAATGAATGACATAATCATAAAAGGGTGTTGGTGTTTGTATTCCCCATAATTCATAAAATTCCTCCGATCACCATCTTTTTGGTTATTTTATTATCTTTAAAACTTTTTTTGATTAGATATAATTTGTCTTTTTGTTATTTTTTGTTTTATATTTTTGTTGTCTATTATTATTATTATTATTATTATTATTATTATTTTAAAAAATTGATTTGATTAGATGTCTCTTTAATAGTCTGAATGAGAAAAATAATATATAAATAGTCCGAACAGAAAAATAACACAAAATATTTGAAACAGAAAAACAACACAATGACAGTTAAAACGAAAAAGAGTAACACACTAATAGTCAAAATGAAAATAAAAATAACATGAAAATAATCTGAACTAAAGAAAATATATTTTTAATGTTAATAACAATAATAATAATAATAATAATAATAATAATAATAATAATAATAATAATAATAATTAATGAAAACAAAAAAATAACAAAAATAAATAAAAAATACAAAGATAGTCCAAACAAAAAAATAATATTATTTATTTATTAAAAATATTAAAAACAAAAAAATTAATAAATAGAGAAAAATACGAAAAGAGAAGTAGAAAAGGAAATTTGAGGGTGAAAAAAAGGCAGAATTTCGTATATATCCCTGCTAAACATCTAAATATCGTATTTATCCGACCTAAACTTAAAATATCGTATTTGCCCTCCTTAAATATTTTTAATATCTTATTTACCAAAATCTATTTTTCTGATAACTTTTATTGATTTATAATTATTTTTCATAATTTTAAATTATTATAATTAAAGGAACTTAATAAATGGATAATAATGCCCCTAGTCTAATTTCCAGTACATATCAATCGCGTTGATGATTGCAGGCTCCATATGGCATCACAGCTTCAGCTATGATTCAGAATTCAGGTATTCATCAAACGCACTAAACATTCAATCAGGTAGAATGCGAATTCCTTTTTTAAGGTTCCTAATTTCAATCGTTCAATTCCTTTATGCGATTGACTAGAATTAACATGAATATAGTTTCAATTGTTCAACTTCTTTCATGTCTATCTCGAGTATACTATCCCTAAGTTTAATCAATTGTTTATTTCTTTATGATTTTGTTTAAACTTGTACATTCTTGAAATTGAAATAAGTAGATTGGCCTTCAGAGTCTTGCTCAACGAGCTGCAAAACAGTTTAATTGACAAATAGAGCTAACAAATAACCTACTGATTGTATCCAATTACATGTCTGTTGATCACGCATTCTCAGGTTTTAAGTTATTCATCCGTTGTAATCATGAATTGAGTATTGAATTCACAAATGAAACCATAAATTAACCTGATAATTGTTCTTATTGCAACAAGGAAGAGGCGAGAAGGGATGAAAAGAAGGTCGACTTTGTGCATTTTTTGATCGACGAGATCTTCTGCGATCGCAGAAGCCATCAGGTAAGGGGTTTATGTGATAGAGAGTAAGGGTATTCTTGTTCATTTAGTTATTTTTTTCAATCTTAATGATTTTAAATTGTAAAAAATAATTATTAAATAGTAAAATCTATTTAAAAATTAGATTTGGGTAAATATTAAATTTTAAAATATTAAGAAGGACAAATATGTATATACGAAATTCTCTGCAAAAAACAGACTCCATCATAAAAACTCATCTGTGATACCATTTTTTTATTTTGGACAAACACAACGCAAGCAAATCAACTTGGTTAATAAGAAAAAGAGAAATTAAATTAGTATTTTTTAACTTTTAACAGATTTACAAAAACAAATAAATTTTAACAAAAGAATTAAATCCATTCTGTTTTTACAGCCAAACTTTTTAACAGATTTAAATTCATTCATATTTCAATTTCAATGAGTTTCATGATTCCGATTCCTTCCAAAAAATCGCAGCAACCTTGTATCCTCAAGGAACGTAGCTTCATCGAAATATCCATAAACAGCATCACCTTTCATCTCTGCAATTCAATTAAGGTTCAAATTGATGTTTAATTAACCAAAGCAACTCGTAAAATACCCAATTTTTTTACCTAAAATCTCGAGAATTATCACTGTCTTCAACTCAGGCATTAGCCGTAGATCTGCTCGACGTGTTTCCTCCTCCTTTAATTAGGAGTTTAGGACTCTGGCGAGGATGTGGAGGATCCTCACGAGCGCATTGCAACGGAGGCACTCTTAAGGTAAATTTCTTAAACCCCATTTATAGTTTCGAGTTTCGAGTTTTCCCATTGGAGTTGTTCTTGTTTACCTGTTAATTGAATAATTTAAGCTCAGTTTGTAAATCTTACAGCTTCAAGATGTTGCACTCTGAGTTTTCTCGTAGTAGACGTAGTAGACATAGGGCTCAAAAAGTCAAAATTATCAAGTCGGATTGATAACTCACAGGGATTCTACTTTTGGGAGATCTGTTGTTATGCATATAAGGAAAAGTTGCATTCCACATTGAGCTTGCAACAAGTTAGAAATCATGTTGTCATACGGCAATAAAGATCTAGTCTATAAATTTTGTTTTTTGGAGTTTGAAACTATTTTTGATTGCAGTTCTTTGTCCTGCAACCTATATGTCATTTAAATTTTGCCTGCCAAATCGTTGTAAAGAATCTTCAAACATCAGCAAGACATTATCATATGGGGATCTAAGCCTAGCAAATTCATGTAGGGAATTTCAATCATGTTAATGAGTGTAGTCTGTATAGAGAAAATGATTACTGTTTATTGTGTGAGCTTGGATATTTTACTGACAATCAAACTTGTATGATATTTCTGCAGACAAGTCATAGTGGATACATAACAGTGTTGTTTTGGGAACAAAGCTCCTTCAAGGATCTTTAGGGATGATAGTGTGCTTTGGATGGCGACAGTTTCTTTTGTTTGTGACACTTGTTTTCTTTCTAACACATTTTCTCTCAGGTTCTTATCTTCTTTCATCTGTTTTTTAGCAGTTAAATCATCCTCATAAACCTTTTCACCATAAATAACCAAAATCCTTTGTTCTCTTAGTTATGGAGTTGCATCAAGACTCAAATGTTAAAGATCCACACCAAAAGAAACAAAAGAAATTTAACCATCTTGTTCTTGGACCCCCTGCTGGTGAAGGTCTGCCAAATCGTTTGCAATGCAAAGGTATTTTCAACAACCTTTAGAATTACTAAAAAACCTATTACTGACAATCATCATTATATCCTATCAATTTCCAGATGTTTTTTAGGCAAGTTTTCAAGCTATTCCGTTTCCTAAGTTTCATCATCAAGGGCATTTTGGTAATTTTTACACATTTTTCTTGTAGGTACCAAGGCTCTTAACAAGATCCAAATATCAGCATCCTCCAACATTTCAAATGGTGGTGGTGGTGTTTCTTTTGTTACAATTTTCACGGTTTATAACTCTAGTGTTGATGATGTCAAATCAAGGGATGCTGCAACCATTGTGGGAAGAGTTTCATACAACAAGGTGGAAAGGTCAATGGCAGTCTTGAATACATTCATAAATTTTATACAGGTACATCTCTAAAACCATGATGTCATCAACAAAAAAAAAAAAAAAAAACTAAAAGTATATAATGTTGTGATTATTATTATTATTATTTTTACAGCTGTCAATGCCTGAAAGCAACATGGTCATCTTAACTGATCCAGCATCCAGGCTTCCACTAAAGAGAAACAGGGTGACTGTATATTCAGTTCAAGGTGAATACTCACGCGACAAGTTGATGCTTCAAAGAATCAGGTCTTACATTGTAAGAAGAGCACCCACCCTGCATGCCTATTTTCTATAATCAGGGGCATTTACGTCTTTTGCATAGATAGACAAGAGATTATTGAGATTTGAGAAGCAGTCCCAATGCCCCCTTTTTTGGGTGCCATTTTGTCTCATTGTCATCATCTGTCACTGTTACCGACTGTTTTCTACTTCTTGCAGGCTTTTCTAGAGAAAAAGCTTGAAGACCATTCACGGGAACCAACCCAAAAAATTACTAATTTTATTTTCACGGATTCAGACATAGCAGTAGTTGATGACGTGGCACAAATATTTAACAAATATGAAAACTTCCATTTGGCACTCACTTTTCGTAACAACAAACAGCAGCCTTTAAATTCAGGGTTCATAGCAGTCAGGGGTACCCCTGATGGAATTTTAAGGTATGTATGTTTAAAAACAGCATCTTTATTAAAAAGAAAAAAATTTGCTGAATAATGGCTAATGAGACCTTCTGAAAAATATAGGGCAAAGGTTTTCTTGGAGGAAGTTTTGAATGTTTATGTTACAAAATACATGAAAGCTTCACGAATGCTTGGAGATCAACTTGCTCTTTATTGGGTTGTAAAATCTCATACTTCATTTGATGAAAAAACATTTAATAAAGCAGAACCTTTTCTTGAGGAAATTGGTGGGGCCTCTGTGCTCTTCTTGCCTTGTTTGGTTTACAACTGGACCCCACCCGAAGGTGCTGGTCAGTTTCATGGCATGCCCTTGAATGTAAAGGTAATAACTAATAAGTAATAACACTCCCTTTATACCATCTTACTTTCATTTCTTTCTATTTTTGTTTTTTTAAAACATTCTACTTTAGAAATTCCATCAAGTTATAGACTTTTTTTTTTTTTCTTGTTAGAACATTATATTTTGAAAAACCTATCCTGAAAAGTTGTTTTGTATTTGAATGACATTGCTATGATTAGGTAAAAAGTTCAAAGTAATAGTGTTATAATAAACAAGTTGATGGAAGTACATTGCTATTTATTGCATTTAATCCAAAAGTGAAAAGAAAAACAGTACTTAATACACGAATCAAAGATTTTGGGAAAAAAAGTGCCAAAGTATAATAATTCTTTTCACACTTGCATACTATATAGGAAATAGGATCCTATTTTACATTTTCACAAGAAAGATGTTAAATTTGAAATGAAAAATCAAGTATAATAGAAATTTTAATTTTCCAACAAATCTTTTGTTGGATAGGTTGAAATTGTGGGAATTTTTTATTACATATTCCTTTATGTACCAACAATTTTTTTTTTGGCCAGTCTACCTCATGTTTACAGTATTAATAACTAGTATGCAAAAGACATGAATGCCCTTTTTTATCCACATCATAATTCATAAAGAAAACCCTAAAAAGCAAGTTGATTTGATCTTTTTTTAGGTGGTTCATTTCAAGGGATCAAGGAAACGGCTTATGCTCGAGTCTTGGGATTTCTTCAAGTCTTCTTCTTCATCTACTGAGGATCATGATGTATCAGTATCAGTATCAGACATGTTGTGCCTTGTATTAAGTAGTGGACGAACAAAGTATGATTTTTAAACAACAAAAACAACAAAATTAAGGATTTTTTTTAATAGAGGAATCTCATCCTTTTGTTTTGGTGTTATTTAAGTTTGATTTGGTTGTTTATATGGATTTTTGTGGTGTGGTTTTTTTTGATTAATTAATTTATTATGTATGAATATTTGATTTATTTTAGTTAAATGAGTTAAAAGGTTGTGTTGTTTTGCTTAAAGGTCCACAACCACAAGATAGGATTATACTAAAAGGGACATGGTAGTGAGTGGTTCAGGTTCGACATAGGACCAATCTATTCTACACCCAGTTGGTATCCATTAACCATTATTTCTTTATAAACACAAACCGAAAAGGATTTCTCAAATAAAAGAATTTGATATTCTTTTAGTGTGAAATGCAAGGGATGGTAATATACTTTTATTTATTTGGTTATTCTAAAATGTCATTATTATGATATTATTTTACTTTTAACTTTTTTAACCAACCTATTGTTTTTTTTGAAAAGATAAAATTGCAAGAATGGTCCCTATGGTATGTTGAAAATTGTCATTTGTGATTTCAATGATGCGGCGTATTTTTTTTTAATTTTTTTTTTTTAAAATTTTTGTTATGCCAATCTCATTGTTTATTCTTTTTATAATGTTTTGAAAATTGATTTTTTTAGTTAAACTGGTCTAATGACGGTCGATCCGTAATTGCACATATAACGCATGTCCTTCAAGGTTTATATATCACTCAAAAACTAAGCAACATAAAACCCTATAATTTAATGTATATTATCATTCTTTCCAAAAGCCATGGACAAACTGAAAAACACTAAACAAATACTTATAAATATGGAAGAATGTAGAAACTAGAACAACATGCATGCTAAATATTCACAAACAGACCGAGAAGAGATCATAATAGATCTCCATTTTAGTATGGAATAAATGGGAACTGAGATGCAATATTTATACATGTACGAAGCCTTATTTGTTTTTTAGGTCAAACAACTAGTATTTATATCCATTGAATTCATATAACATAATGTATCAGGTAGAAAGTATTAAAATATCTATAAGTGGCCACTGTGGGCGTAGCCGATCATCTTGATCATGTGAACTACATATATTGATCGTGTTCTTTGTTTTTCGTTTTGAATTATTACTCTGTGTGAAATCGTCTATCGTTTGTTCAAATGTTTAAACACTAATAATGAGAGCTCCAAAAAGTAGGATGGTGATGAGTGATGACAACCATCCATGTGGAAAACATGGAAACTAGATTTATCCCTAGAGCATCTTTCTCTCCAAGTTTACCCGTTACATTATCATTTATGGAATGTTAAAATATACTAATAACTCACGGAAAGCCTCATAAAAAAATGTTATTCATCCCAGGGACAAGGAAATTAGAAAACTTGTCAGATAAAAAGAAAAATAAAAAAGTAAATGACAAATCTAATCACATTATCGTTTATGAATTGTTAAAATATATTTGTTAACATGTTAACTAGTAGATGATGATTAAAACCTTTTATATATATATATATATATATATATATATATATATATATATATATATATATATATATATATATATATATATATATATATATATATATATATCAAACATGTCTTATTTGCTATAGTTTATCTTCAACTTCATATTAATTTGTGTTCTTGTATATATTATTACTAACTAGATTTAAACCCGTTGAAAGCATGGTTGAAAAAGAAAAAAACACACTATTGATAATTCTAAACTATAATAGCTAATCAAATATTTGCAAAAAAAATTTTAATTTACAAAAATAGTAGTTTTATATGTAAGTTTATAACAATAGATAGTATATATATATATATATATATATATATATATATATATATATATATATATATATATATATATATATATATATATATATATATATATATATTATTGAATATTCGATCTACGTTTGTAAACATATTTTATAAAATCATGATTCTATAAAATACAATATAAATTTGAATATAATTTGACCGAAATAAATAATAAGTAGGTAGTTTTATATAGATTAAATAAAAGAAAATAAATAAAAATGAGAAAACATTAAGAATTTCTAAATTATACCCATGGATTTTTAAAGACTTTAAGAAACACTAGTAAAGGGAAAGCACAAAAGTAATATGTTATAAAAAAATGTTTGTTGCTATTTCTACATTATGCCCTTAAAAACATAGATAATATGTTCGATGATTAATCAAAATGCTAAAATACAAGATAGGTTATCATATTATGAAAATCTATCAAGTTATGACATCTTATTATTAAAAAACATAAAACAATAAAGATTATTAGTTTATACATGTAATCAACAACCACAATTTGTATATTTTAAAATTCCAAGAGAATATAATAAATAGATAAATATTTTGAGGTACAATATTGTAAAATAGGAAACATTGAAATTAAGATAATATAATAAAGTATACAACTATATTTTTCTAAACAAAAAATTTATGATTTAATATGTTTGTTGGATTGTATACATAAACATATACACAAACAACTTGAAAGAAAGTATGTTAAAATCACATCATTTTTTAGATTTTTATCAATAATAAAATATACCTACTATTATAAACCTAAAATAAATATACCTAAATTTTACATTGTTCTCTCTTTTTTATCCCCGTAACATGGCTTAATTTTCATCATGCAAACTATTTAATAATTATTTTAATGCCAAAATAACGTAGTTTAATCGAACTATTTATTTGGTACCATATTAATAGTTAAATTTGTATATCGACTACTATTTCGTACCGTACACAATTAGAGAATAAGATGTGGTATGATACCATGTTCACCCCAATATTCCACAAGATACGGATAACAATTTCAAGGTAAATGAAGAAATTTTTTATAGTACTAAAAACAATTAGTTTTTAAGTATTTTTTTGGTGAAGGTAAAAAAAAGTCAATTCTGAGCAAATAGTAAATTTCGCCATTACGAAATTGATGATTATTTGTGGAAAAATAATAAGCATAGCATAAAACTATAGTGACTAGATTTATCATTTTCTCAAAATAATATATAAACAACAAATGAATAAAATTTATTGTTGTTTCTCTTCATTTTTCATTTGGGGCTTCTTTTTCTTTGATAATTGAAGTGTTCTTGTAAGAAAGAAAACTTACCAATTCATTATAAAACCACAATTATAATAGAGTGACGTAATAAAAAATAAATCAATCAAACTATTACAATATGAAGACATTGTTATTTTGCTTATCGGGTAAATGGTGCAGTTCAATGAGATATGTTGGATCAGGTTTTTAATAGAAACAAAATTTATTTATAACTGAAAACAATACAAACAAATACTTATATATCGATACTTGTATCCGTTCGGTTGGGATTTCAAAATATTGACCTTACACTTTTGTCCTCGACCAAATTATGGTCCTACATACCCCAAACAAATAAAACACCACCAACATTTCTTGAAATGGACTAATCAATCATGAGTCATGACTCCAAAACAAATACATTTTCAGTTTTTTTAAACCAAAAATCCATATATGCATTATGTGAATTTGGTTCTAAGTAATTGGTCAAATTGTCTCAAATAACAATGTATTTATTTGTTTTTTTTTATCAAATAAGATAACATATTTATTTTTTACTGATAATCACAATTAACTTTTATTCAATTTAAACATGGTTCTAGTATATTTAACCATTTATAAAATACAAAAATTATATATAAACTGATATTGATTGTTTTTTCTTATTTTAAACTCTATCTAGTATGACATGACTGTTTTGGCATTCTCCTAAGTATAATATATAGACTCAGAATACGTATGAATGGTTTTTCTTATCTTATTATTCACATAACCAACAAGTACATATATAGGGTATACAATACAGGATAATTATCTACCTTCAAAACTAACTATCGGATATACACCATACAAGATATCCACAAAACTAATTATTATCTAAAAAGACTCTTGACAACACTCCCCCTCAAGCTGATGAATGTATATCGATCATTCGAAGCTTGTCCAAAGAGTCGTTGAATATTCGCACACACACAGCCTTGGTTAACATGTCAGCTAACTGCTCATTCGAATTCACATACGGTAGACTAATCGTCTTTTTCTCAAGATGATCTTTAATGAAATGCCGGTCCAATTCAACATGTTTAGTCCGATCGTGTTGAACTGGATTACTCGCTATCTTCACAGCCGCTTGATTATCACAAAATAACTCCATAGTACCCTTCACATTTATGCCCAGATCCTTTAACACCCGTTTGACCCAAAGTAACTCGCATACACCGTGAACCATACCTCGAAACTCTGCCTCCGCACTCGAGCGCGACACAAACTTCTGTTTCTTACTACGCCACGTTACAAGATTACCACCAACAAATACAAAATAACCTGACGTGGACTTACCGTCAGACTTGTCTCCTGCCCAATCAGAATCCGTATACCCTTTAACTTCTACGCTTCCATTTCTGCCAAAGAACAAACCCTTACCCGGCGACGACTTCAAATAACGTAGAATCCGGAAAACAGCCTTCATGTGACTCTCACTAGGAGCATGCATAAAACGGCTTACAATGCTAACCGCATATGCAATATCCGGTCGTGTATGTGCAAGATAGATTAATTTTCCGACCAATTTTTGATACCTCTCTCTATTGGTTGGAACTTGACCTGTCGATTCTGTAAGCTTATGATTCACTTCTATAGGAGTATCAATCGGTTGACACTCCAACATTCCCGTTTCTGCAAGAAGGTCTAAAACATACTTTCGTTGACACATTACTATCCCATGCTTAGATCTAGCAACTTCAATTCCCAAGAAATACCGTAAGTCCCCGAGATCCTTCAATTCAAACTCGCGACTCAACAAACCTTGTAGTGTGTTAATCTCGTCTGGATCGTTGCCCGTAACAACCATATCATCCACATACACGATTAGGGCTGTGACCTTATCACCGTAACTCTTCACAAACAAAGTGTGATCTGCGTCTGATTGTTTATACCCGATCTTTCTCATGAACTTTGAAAATCTTCCGAACCACGCCCTAGGGGATTGCTTCAGCCCATATAGTGCTTTGTTCAATTTACACACCTTGCCGCCATAATTCATTCCAGGAGGAGGATCCATAAACACTTCCTCTTCTAGATAACCATTGAGGAAAGCATTTTTCACGTCGAACTGCTTAA